TATCGCTTCTCTCCCCCCCCCCCCAATGTTACTCTAATTAATCCGGAGGCATGGTGGAAATCGCACCAGGATTAGGATTGCTTCCAAATAGTGTAGCCTGCTGTTGACGTTATGGACGGAGGTAAGGAGGCTCTCTCATTTTTTAAAATTCAGACGAATAATTTTATTCCGCTCCATGGGGAATAAAATAAATGGTTAAAAATTAGGCAATGTCAAAAGTTGGTGGGCGTGGCAGATGTATTCGCTTTCGGTTGGCATATTCGCCATCACATTAATCGATAATTGAATATACGTTAAGCCGTCAGTTGTGGAAGCATGTGAATCATGTTACCATGACAAGATTGAAGTCTGAGGAATTGATACGGACTTACTCTCCATTTTGGTTGGCAATGCTGAGAGCCCTGTGCGTTTCTTCTTTCTTTCTTTTTTTTTTTTGGAGGGTGGAGGTGGGAAGGTGGAGGTGGGAGGTGGAGTGGAGAATTAGTCCTGAACCAGAAGTTGTAAGTTGCATATGCATCAATTGGCTGCCTGCCAGCGGTTATTTGCTCTGAGAGTAACCTGATTGTCTTTCAAAAAAAAGAATAATAATAAAACTGTGGATCATGTTCACGTGCTCCGTTCATGATGCAACAAATTTATATTTTGGGTATATCACCCAATCTGGCCTCAGCTTCAAATGATCTTTAATTGGAGAGTGGCACCGCAGCGTTTTGGGCCACTTTCCATTCTTTACGCCACAATGGTGAGCAACCCAAACACGCTGCAGCATGTTTAATACAGGCTATATATTATAAATAAATATATGTGTGTGTGTGTGGTTTGTATATATAAATGTTGGTATTTTTTAAAATGTTGTTTCTAGGGTGTCCCAGTCAACCGGCTATTCGAGCTGCAGCTGATCTCCGTGGAGAATGTAAACGGCGAGTTGGGCGGACGGAACTGCTGCGACGGCTCAGGAGCTCCAGGAACCGGCGCTGCACTCGAGGACAGAGTTCGGACACTATACTTCTAAGATCTGCCTGAAGGAGTTACCAGGATGGATGTCAACCACCGGCGGTCTGCACGTTCGGAGCTGGATCTACGCAAGTTCTCGGTCGGAATCATGTTTTCTTTAGGAGCGGGCAAAGAATAACGCGAATAAAATCGACGATTGCTGGCAAGATATTGATCCCCTTCCAGTTCGCCTGGCGGTGAGTGAGATTTCATTGCTCCAATTAAGGTTACAAAGAGTGTTTCTTTGACCACCGTCCTTCTGTGGGCACGGTCCTAACACCTAACCCGTTTAATATTTGGCTTAATTTAAATGTTCATTCTCTGTGATGTTCTGTGCATCACATAACTGGCGAGAACACACCCATGAGACGTTTAGGAATGGGTTTTGGAGCCACTTCTTCCATTTTGCGTAATGTCCACTACATTACAGCCAGCACTGGTTTGGGATTAAAACTTGGGTAAGAAGGTTCTAATGTTTGTTTATGTCATTGCAAACTAGGGCTGCAAGTGATTTTAAAATACCAATCACAACATACTTTAGTCCTCAAAAGGTCTTAGTTTTGGGACCACCTTCCTGTGCAGAAAACTTCTACAAGCTCCACCAGTGGAAGGCTCGAAGAAGTTAAAAATTGTATCCCAATAAACCCAATGACCAGAAAATCCTGAACGATTTTCATGATGGTTTAATGGGTCACATTGTATCAGCAGAATACTGTACTCAAATGGGGGGGGGGGGGGGGGGGGGGAGTCTTAGCAGCGTCCTGTCTTTATGAGAATTGACACACATCAGGGCTAAACGATTGCATGCTTCACAAGGATCAGATTGCAGCTACAGTGGTTCAGTGTCATCTGGGTCATCTTTTAAAGTTGCCCTGATATATGAGGGCTGGCTTTGTTCCAATCCAACAGCTTGCACCTGCCAAGGCCATGATAGGGTAATTAGACTGGGGAAAATGCTTTGATATGTAGACCCTGGAGGGGGGAACTCTGTTACTTCTCCTATGGAGGAACGATTATAGCAAAGCTGTTTACTTCAGAACATGGCGTTTGATTCACTGGGATGTTGAGGGCGATTTCATCATAGTACAATCCATCAAATGGAGTTTGGTGTAGTGAGACTTCAGCTTTTAGAATTGGTCCACATTGCTTGCTAGTGCCAGCTTTATTGGATGACAAAAGTGAAGATGAAAGTGCGGTTTAATGTAGAAATAAGTGGTTTGTGTTGCATTTCTACAAGAATAGAAAACAACTTTGGAAAGACTCCACGTCCACAAGGTTTCTAACTTTTACTTTTATGCAAGGCAATATTATTAAACTGCGAAATTGTCACGGGAGTCTGGTGTGATGTACGAGAATGGCATGTAAGGTATATTAGTCAGTGCAGCCCGGTTGTATGTGTTGGACGGATGCTCCAATTAATTCTCTATTATAATGATGAATGAGCGGCATTATGCTGTGAAAGTGAAATGTGTTCAGCTGAAGTGAGCGATGCCTTCGGGCAGTCGTTTGGTGTGTAGTGCTGACGAGTTCTGTCACCCCCCCCCCCCCNNCCCCCCCCCAGCCCCGTTATACCTCACAGCTTCCTCTCCTCCTGCTGTGGGTGCCAGGTGGCCCCTGGTGGCCCCTCCGCACCAATTAAGCTCATCTGACTGCAGACGAGTGATAGCTGATGGATTAGGCATGTGAATAAGGTGTGCATGCAGTAAAAAAAAAAAAAAGTCCTAGAGCTCTGAACGTACTTTTAGTCATTTTGTTTTTCACAATTTGTTTTATAGAGATCTTTTTATTGTAGAGCGGAAATGATTATTTGATAGAAAACATAATGTGCATCTATTGTGATCAGTGATTAATCATTTAAGTAATTTTTAAAGCATAAATTGGCAGCACTCTAGTTCCACCTCTGTAGTTGTTACGGTTTGCTGCCTTTCTTTATCTTATTTGATAGCAAACTGAATATTTGGAGGTTCTGGACTGTTAGTCGCTGGACAAAGCAAGACATCTAAAGATATCATGTTGAGCTTTAGGACGTTTGAAGACGTCACCTTTTGGGTCTGGGGATTTTCGATGAGCAGTTTTCTCCAAATAACCACATAATTAATTGTTTAAATGATCAGTATCATTAGTTGCATGCAGCCTTATTCTGAAGAAAAGCTTGAGCTCCTTTTTTGGAATTTGAACCATAAAAGATTTGATGATAACTAACTTCTGTTGAAATTTGATAAAACTTGATTTCAGTAATGGGTGGGTCAAGTAATGAGCACCTCTGTGTGCTCTCCTGTTGTCCTGAAAGCTTGGGGTGTTTTTTGTAGTCTTTTGTGTTGAAGGCATCATGTGTTTGATCCAGGTTTTGTCTTTTGTGTATTTAATGATTTCAGGGTTTCCCGTGGCTGTTTATAGCCGAGGCAGTCAGCCTTTAGTGAATTAACAGCAGCCTTTTGACGTTTTTAAGCTTCAGGGGGGAAATGGCAAAGGTGCAATTTCATTTCACATGGTAAAAGCAATATATGTAATGAGGGGTGCTTTTGTTTAGACCAGCAGGTGGGAAGGTGGTTTGGGCTTTACCACTAGGGCTAACCAAATGTCTGGATTTATCTCAAAGCTAAATGTATACAAACATCACACGTCTAACATTAATCATCACACAGAATCTGAAGCCCTGGCAGTCTCTTATTTGACTCATTGACTGACACCTCGAGGCAGAGGTGAAGAGGGCTATTCTGGTGTGTTGTCTTTCTGTTAAGTGGCCCGGGCTGATAACGGTGCACTATTCCAGTGCCAGATGTCACAACAAGCCTGCAGGGTCACTTGCTGTGGCGTTGTCGCTTTCCTCACTGAAGAAACAAAGATGCAGTGTACTATTGGCTGTGTCATCTGGCCAACTGCCCATTTTAAGCACCATGGAAACCAAAGAGGGCTGGACTCTTCTGTCGTCCTGAACCCAGCATCTGAAACGATCAGAAAACAAAATAAGTATTTTACTTTAAAGTTCCAAATTCTTAAATATCTTTTCTAGCTCCTTTTTAAAATGTCATTGTGAAGAGGATACAGCTGTATGGGTTGCTCCTTTTCCTGTTGTGGGCTACATAAATACAGATTGTGGTCCATAATCACATACTTAGATGTGCTTGTATCATTCTCTTGAGATGTAATCTGGTCAGGTTGGAAGTTGGAGTGGTATCTCAACTCAGTCCAAACTTTGAGACTGTTATCACTAAAATGTTCACAAAAAGTGGTAAAACTGTAGCTGCTTAAGTGTACGAAGAGTTTTAATGTGTTTTCCCAAGAATGATGCAGTTATATTGACCATTTTTCCTACAAAACAGGGGTTTTCAAATCCTGTATTATAACAATACTTTTTGATATCTTTCATATTCTGAACAGGCACTTAAGTTAATTTTCAAAGAGCACTTTTCATCCAGTGTATCGTATTGCAGTCGGGCTGTGACAGTGAAAACCCATCCTGCATTTCTGGGAAAGGCTTCTTCTGTGAAGACACTGAGAGAGATGCATCATATCCTCTCCTCGGCCCTTTTATCATCACACCACTGTGATGCAGTCGCTAATGGTTGATTTTACTCACATTGCATGATGCTTATCCATTCTTTGGAAATCTTCCAGTGATTCTCCAGCTCTGGCTTGCCTTTGCAGCTTGCCAGTAAAAGAGACTGACTATTGATGCTGCTGCCACCTCTGAGCTCAGCCTATACTCAGTGCTTCCCTACAGGTTTGGATTTACAGTAAATGCACACTGCTTCTGCTTCCTCTTCTTACATTTGTAATTGTAATAAACTTTTGAAGCTGAGGGAATTTGTTTAGCAGTGAAAGCAGTTTAAAGAATATATTTAGTTGAGTAATTAGGGTTGACAGAAGAAACAAACATTGCATTTTTATTTATTAAAAATGTCCTACCTGCATTTGAATAGTGCAATATGTTGGAAGGAAAAGTACATTTTTGGAAATAAAACCAATTTACTTTCTTTCTGAGAGTGAGATGAAAAGATAAATACCACGGTCATGTCTGTACAGAGCTGGAGCCAGGATGTGGTTAGCCTAGTTTAGCACAAAGATGAGAAACAAGGACAAACAGGTAGCCTGGCTCTGTCTGTATTAAGTTAAATGAGTCTACAGCCACACTAGCAGGTGTGTGAGGCTACCCTTACTAAATGCTAACATGCTCACAAAGACGGTGCTAACATGCTTTTGTTTAGCAGGTATTGTTCGCCATTTTATTTTAAGTGCACCTCTCAATCGCACAAATTACTATGCATGTTTGTCGTTTGTTCTATCTCTGCATAAACAGAAATATCAAATCTACAAGTTGTGGTTTTAGAAGGAGGTATGTGGTGCAACTGTTGACAACAGTTCGGCTGGTTGCCTGGCAACGTCACTGACAACAAGGCTACAGACTGCCGTTAAGGCTACAGACTGTAACTTTCCCTAAAACCACAAATTTGTTTTCACACTTCTGTTTGTGTAGCTACAGATTAAACAAACAAGATCTGATTGGCAAATGTATGCTAAGCTAGGCTAATCACAACTCTGTCGTCAATGCAGCCAAAAGATGAGGCTGGTATCAATCTTCTTGTCTAACTCTCTGTGTGTTGAGATTTAAGTGATCAGGCAGCGTCAGCAGTATGTAGACCATACTGTACCTCTGTGGAATTAATGTGAATGTCGTCCAGCAGTCAGCTGACCAAGTTAAGGCCTCATTTGGCCTGTCTGATTGAGTTTCCATTTTGTTCTGCTGTGTGAGCACTTCAAGCAAGAGGGAGGGAGGGAGACACGTCTTACTTCCATTTGATCCCTAATGAAATTGCCGGTGAAATTTCTCTCCCCCACTCTCTCTCCTTCACTCCCCGTCCCCGAGCTACATCAGCCGGACGTCCGTTTGATGTGAGCCTGCCTGTAACTGTATCTGCTCTGAACTCGGATATGTATCAGACCTCCCTCAGCTGGTAAATAGATGCATGTAGTTAGTCCTGTAGTTGATCTGCAACCTCATCAGGAAGCTTAATTGTTACTCTAGAAACTTAAGCAGGTGAAGAATTTGATTGAGAATATCTTGTTGTAAAAGACAGTCGAGACAATTCAACCCTCCAT